TACCATAAATGCACAAGATAAATAAACATGCCAAATTAACAAAGATATTCTTTGAAATAGTACATGAGAGCTTGTCATAATTGTAGAATAATTTCTTCCTTGTTTAAAGTGCATGAGCTGAGTGGTAACTACTTTATATTAGGAAGCACTCACTCCACAATTTCCCATTCATAACCAATCTTTGTGTTTTCTTACAGCAGGACCAAACTGGTGTGGGGTCAAAGAATTAAATTAGTAATTGCTAATAGACAAAATGAAGTTAGAATATGTTTCCTCATTTCTTTGTCATTAAACTTAAGAGGGAGAAGTAACGTAATTAATAGAGGTGACACACTCCTTTAGGTTTTAGTGCCATAATTAGAGACGGTTCTTGGGAAGTACAATAGTAGGCTTTATTAAAAACTATATTAAACGGGTCATTTAGTGGCAAGCTTTGTAAGAGTAGATGAGATAGATATATAGATAGATAGATACTTTATTTATCACGAGGGAAATTCAAGTAACCAGTAGCATACTAAACATACATACATTAAACACACATTAAACCTATACTAAAATCTAAATACTAAAGATTTAAATAAAATTAACTGTAGTCTGCCTGGGAGTTTTAGACCTCTCTTAAACAGTCTGCTGTCCTGTGACTTGCTCATATTTGCACTTGCTTATAGTAAACCAAACTCCAGAAAGCAAGAACAAAACAAGTGATTGCCTGCTGCTCTTCACTGAATTCTTTGCAGCTTGCACTTGACTGTTACTCATTCCAACACATACACTCTAAATATTAAGCCTCCATTACCAAGCATGTTTTTCATTTTGCTCGTAGTTGCTGAACTTGCAACTGACCTCTGTATGTATCCGCAAACTGGCAGATAACCTGTTATGAATATTCATGAATTTACCAGGCACTGTTGTTAGTCCTCATCCCACTACTTTTTCTCTTAACCAGTGCCCTCCATGCCCAATCCTCTCACACTCTGTTTCTCTGCATCGTCATCCTCCCCCTCCATCTCATGCTCATTTGTCACTATGTTGTCCACCTTTACTGCCAATGCCTTCTATCTCCTTTAACAGCCTTTTAATAACAGTGCGTTTTCCATATTGTCATCCATCTCATTCAATTTTAAATTGTGATGAACGACTCCTAGGTCCTTTTCAGTTTGTGCTAGATGCTGGTTTGTCTCTTGCTCAGTATCTCCACACCTTATAGAGTTAAGGTGGTACTGTCAGCTTTTCCAAAGGGAATGTGTGCCCTGTGAGCTACACAGAGCAGTTTTTACCTCCTCCCTGTTGTACGCAGCTATTCTTAGCAATGTGACTTATATTGGCCCCAAGCTCATAATTAAAGCATATGGATCAAATACAGACCGTGAGAAGTCAGGTGTCACTGATGCTTTTTGACAGTTTTTCTATTTCTTTTCCCCCAATTTGGACAGGCCATGTCCGCCGTTGTTGCTGTTAACTCTCCCTGCTTGTCTGAAGAGGATATAGACAATAATTTATCTCTTCTAAAAGACAAGTCATGCCGCCACTTCTTTTACTAGGGGAAGATAATGTGTGGAAATGAATGCTCTATCCCACAGATCCAACACTCCTTGTGGGTGTCCTAACAGTGTTTAGAAGTCGCTAGCACAGCAACAAAGACTTGATCCCTCACTGGGTTCCCACTCACAAACGCTGCCAAATGGAATGAGGCGTCAAGTTAAGTCAGAAGTGTCGCTGCAGGGGATTAAGTTGGTGTTTTTATGCTTCAGTACGTTTTTTGCAGAACAGTTAAGTTACAGCTGGTCAAGACAGTGTGACTCCAAACAGTCAAACTCACAATGCATTACTGTTATTAATTTGATGAATGATGGTATAATAGAGTAGGACTGGAACTAACAATTATTTAAATTTTTCTGATTAATCATTTGATTTACAAATATATAAACCAGCGAAAAAAAAAAAATAATTATCACTTTTTTTCTTGATTAATAACTTAAATGATTTCTTCCTTATCAGAATTGTGACTAGGAATTTCCTTATTCACCAACCAATTGTTTCAGAATTAACAGAGAAACCACCACCCCGATTTACTGCCCTTGTTTATGGTGGGCTGGTTGACAGGTAATTGACCTTGTCTGCTCTGAGATTATGTGTAGATGTTTGTGTGTTTGCCAAGATCAGGATATCTCATCAGTCCATGAATGGAGACTTTGTGTCATCAGCAGTGGGTAACTGAGACTGGCCAAGTTGTCATCGATGTGATTGGAGAGTACTGAAAGCGTTCAGGGAGATGGTTCTGTTTTCTTAAAGCCTGGCCACTTGTGATCCTCATGCTATGAATCATGTTATCTTTATTGTGTGTTCTGGCACTTAACTCAAAACCAATTCAAAGACAACTATGAATAGTTGGGGTTGAATAAGCATTGTCTTCTTGTTGCCAGAAAGTGATTCTGGGTCTGTTGTAATGACACTAAAAAGAAAGAGCTTGTCCCCTCTGCCAGCACAGCACACAGAGGAGTCTTTGTAAAACTACTCAGTCCTCATTTCTGCTCCAACTCTGTCAAAGCAAAGGGCTTCATGTACGGTGGATACATCTGTTCAGTTAGAATATTCTGAAGATTTATCTGTAATTGCAGAGGTAAATGTTTTAGAAGTGCTGTTTGTTGATCTCTGCTGGGTAGTGGGTGTTCATTGATATACTCATGTAAATATTTGAGCTCCACGTGAGACAGTTGTTGGAATCAATTATGCAGCTAGTCATTTTATTGGCACATAAAACTGTGTTAATATCCTGCCCAGTGGTAATTGATTAATCCTGTGCAGTAGCTCTTTGTCCCCTGATGATTAGCAGTGTTTGACTGTCAGCGATGTCTGTACCTGAATTAATAATCATAGTAGTTTGATTTATCCCATCAGGATAAATTAACGTCCTGCATGTCAGGAATAATAATTTTAAAAAGTTACACCGTTTACCGAGAGACTATTGCTCTTTCGGAGCAACATGAAACACATCTCCTCAGTGTGTTCAGAAGACTACATATAGGTGCATCCTTTTCTCATTATCATTCAGCTAGTTATTTACAGTAGTGTGTTGTCCTGTACTATGTACTTTGTGTTTAGTGCTATCAAGCAGATGTTAGCATGGCAACATAATGAACTAAGACGGTGATCATGGTGAACATTATTGGATACATCGGTCTCAGGTACAGTATCTTGGAGCTGCTAGTTATAAAATGTCCCACTCAGTACATATCTTGGTCACAACCCTTAACAAAAATGTTCATATGTTTTTATATTTTCTTTTTTTATATAACACAAAGACAGAGAGATAATTCATACTATTTATTTTGATCACTATACACAATCAGTTCCTCCCTGAAGATGAGTAAAAACAGTAATGTTTATATAGCACTGTTTACTCCCCTCTGGCTGCTGCGATAAGCTGACCTGATACTGTAAAAAAAACAAAAGTCAACTCCAAAGTTTTTCCCTGAAGCAACACAACAACACTGCCTGTTTCTCCTAAAACCCCTTGAACATGAAGAATGAGGGTGCATGTGCTCTTCTTTTTCACTGCTGCTAACAAGTGTTCACCTCCCTATGGGGAACCTGAAATATTAATGGATGAGTTTTATTCTGGAGTCAGGAAGGTGACCTTCATGCATGTCTGTGTCCACAGAGGGACTGATATTCCACTTTCCACCATCCACCTTCTATTCTTTAACAGGACATTTTTATACAAGTGCTTATAAATCTGACACTGTATTTATATATTTTTTTCATATCTATGCCTCTAAAATGAAACTTAATATTCCAGGTAGAAATAGATGAGACCTAATAAGGCCTGCGCTAAAACATTGTGTTTCTTGAGATAGGAAGGTGAATGAATAGAAGAAGCAGCCTAGTTACATAATTTCATCTTGATTGGCTTTAAGTAAGATTTAAAAAAAAAGGGTAAAATGAACCTGAACATTTTGCCAAAAATAAAAAATAGTCATATATTATTAAATCTTGTTTTTTGTGTGCTGGGTTGTCATATACTTTTTGATATATTGAGACACAAATCACCTGGAGATCCACCCAGCTACCTCTGTGCCTTCGAGCCTGTCTAGCAGCAAATCATGAGTGACAGCTCATATGACAGCGAACGCAGCTACAGACATTGCATTTACACCCCTTCCTTTGCTCTGTGTTTCTCTCTCAAAAAAGTGCTCGATGTGTGTGAATAAGATGAGTGTTGACAGCATGAGGGGGAGCACTGCTGGTCCCACTTGCTCCGTCAGCCTCGGGCTGGGCTAATGTTTGTTGGCAGGGTTGGGTCAGGTGGCAAGAAGGGACAGTGGATGGTGGCATGGTCCTGACAGGTCAAGGGAAGTGCCAAAGAGTCTGGCTTATTCATGTCAACAAGATAACAATGGTTCTGAAGCACAGCTTGCTGTAATTCAAAACTTTGAAAGAAAACTAAAAAGTTTTTGTGCTGACTTGAGTTTTGTATGTATGGTGACTTCTTTACTATGGCACATATACACCGATCAGCCATAACATTATGACCACCTGGGCACCCTGGTGGTCATGCTTGGAAGGGGAGGGTCACGCATGGAGTGTTCAGTTGGGTCCAAGCTGCCATCTTACCGCTAGATGTAACTAAATCCTACAATGTACTTTTTCATCATGTACTCAGCATGTGTTGGGAAAAGTACCATGAAGCATTAAATTATAAAAAGCCATGAAACCATATCTCTTCCCTGCACCCTTCTTCGTTCCGAGTGAATAATAAACATAACAATGAACAATGAAGAGGGGGATTCTTCTTCTGCTTTACATCATGTCCTCAGAAATGGAAACATAAATAAATCAGACAACCCAGAGGACAAAATGCAATGTTAGAGGCAGGTCATCACTGGGTCGCTCTTGTTTTCAAAGCAGAAACAGTCGTAGCCAAAGTTCAACTTTATTCCACTCACAAAGACAACAGCTTTAAGTTCCTTTGTAACTCTAATCTTCTAATGTTCCAACAGGTGCTGGGGAGTCTGGGAAGAGCACCATTGTAAAGCAGATGAAGTAAGTTACAAAAGCAATCTTTATCTTACTTTATTTTTAATGTTTGGTCTTTTCTGTTTAACCCAAAGATGTGTTTTCCACCCCAAAATAAGTGCTTCCATTGTAGAACTAGTGTGTTGGGTGAGACATTATATTCCATAAACTAGCCAAACTTGACAAAATCTGTCCAGAGGATTACATAATACAAAAGATTAATCATAATATGGTCTCTTGATGAAATACTAATAATACTTGTTTCACAAAACAAGCCACAGGGAGAAAAATAATGAATCAGTCAACTTGTGTTTCTGTTATTCTGTTTTCCATATCTCATTGATCTCATTAAGTGCATATAGCTCAGACACTCAGGCATTGACCATGATGCATATTAAATCAGAAGTTATAGCTCAATGGTTTGTAATAGAATAAATTTGACTTCCTTCTGTGTGGTTTCTAGGGGAGAGTGTGGTTTGTTTTTGTCTTTTACTGCTCGTAGCACAAGAGGAATGAGCAGTAAAAGAAGATATTGTAATACCTCTGCACCAATCAGGATACACACGGACACACTAATATGCACAGGACCCTAAATGGCTTAATTATTCACATTCCTCTGGGCTAGCCAGGAATTGAATACATTTTTTATGAGCTTGGAGCAGGAACAGTCTGTCGCTTTTTGAAGCCAGGTTATTAGCACGTACAGGCATACAGATAAATCAGCCTTCAAGAAAGAAACACTCATATTATGTAACATTACACATCGATGCATCCTGTGTAAACATGTCATCACAGCAGACAGCGTCAGGAAATATAACCGGTTTCATAAAGCAACTTTAAAATCAGGCAACTATTTTGTTTGCCAAATTGTTACTGTTAATTTTCATTTGCATCAACACACTGTATAAAGCATTAACACATTTTACTTAATGTGGAGTCATCTCAGTTTGCTCTCTTTGCACTTCCCTATGCAGACAGATGAAGTCTGAATGGTTGCACCTCATGATAGGATGTGAACTTGTGTATGCACAGACACTTAGTTCCCTCACTCCCAGGTTCAAAGGAATAATGTTGCAAGAGGTAGACTCAGGATACTGCATCAACTAAATGCTGCAGAGTGGAGGCGCTTTCAGTGTGTGTTAACCTCACTGCACACATCATGATACACAGCGTGCTGACATGATCATTGTGATGCAGTGTACAGTACATGCTTCTTGGTAGACAAGGAAGCAATTGTGAAGAGACAAAAGAAACTGCATTTCTGCTTCAAAATGTTTTTCCTTCTGACCCCTGTTTATATAATTCTTAATTTAGAATGATATGATATTTTATGTTCAGCTTAATGATTAATGTATTGAGGAATGTTTCTTAAATATACTCAGTGCTAATCAGTCATAACTTTACCATTTTCATCTGCATCATTTTTCTTTTCATTGTACCAAAAGGCAGACTGTCAAAACTAGAGAATAGCTGGTGAACATCACTACTCTTTGAAGTGATTCCAAGCCAGTGTAAACATATCATGACGTCACCCATTGATTTGTGGACTGCCGTTTTTAAACCTCGATTGTGGCATTATGGCCATTATCATGTTTGTTTTTTGCAGCAAGCAGCGGCGACATACTGCGATTCCGGCTGCGCTCCTTGGCTTGGTTTCAACTCATGTGTAGCAAGAATGACTGCTTGCCTGGCCACACACATTCTCATATTACAGATAAACAGTAAACTAAGATATGTTTCTGAAAAGATTTGGGGCGAGAAATAGGCAATGCAGTGACAGAATCTTGATTCATATTTCATCAGCACTGCCTTGTTGGACAGTTTGACCTGAGTTTCATGCATTGCGCTGGATGGACTGAGAATGACTTGTCAATAACAAGGTAGTCTCGCCCTATTTTATTCTAAATGGGGTCTTAATTTACTAAATGAACAGCATGCTATGAAGACTTGAAACTAGTGATTGAGACCATAAACTCATTAGAAAACTGTTAACTGAGGTAAAAAATCAAGTGAGAAGTAGGGTAATTTTTCCATAAGACTCATGACTAAATACTATATGACTTCTTTTTTGTAGCCCTGCTTGCCATTACATAGAATGCAGGTTTAAGATGATTCTATGTAGGCTTCACTACACAGACCTGGAAGCTCTGTCCACTAATTAATGAGTGATTCCCACATAAAGGGTTTATAATGTAACTGATGGGAGAGAAAAAAAATCCACAATCCTTGTGGAGTCCTGTGCAAATATATCTATCTTTTTAGTACAAAATTCCCTCTGCATTTCTGCAGAACATGTTTCTGTGGTGGGATAGCTTGTGGAATTTTGTTGTAAAAAAGACTATAAATTTTGAAGGTGACCACCTGATTTATCTAACTCAATTAACTTTAAATACACCTTTGAATGCATTTTTCATAGAACATAGACTGCAGATTTTGTCCTCCATTATTTAGAGTGGAATCGCTTCAGGAATGGATCAGTATGAACAAGCGGGATGATTACAGCAAGCAAAAATTTCACACATGACTAGTGCTTGAGGACTGACATGACAAAACTGTACCTACCCTTCAATGTACACTTAAATAAATTGCATATTTCCGCCATTCTCAGGATCATCCATGAAGACGGCTACTCAGAAGATGAGTGTAAGCAGTACCGTGCCGTGGTTTATAGTAATACCATCCAGTCTATTATGGCCATTGTTAAAGCCATGGCCAGTCTCAAGATAGACTACAGCAACCCTTCCAGAGTGGTAAGACACACAAGCACACAAACACTCAAAAACATATTTGTTATAGCATTTATTGTCACATATGTCTATACATATCATTACATAAATATTTGTTATTTTCATCGTCCACAAAAAGCATAAGCATGTGTTGACCAGAAGCAGGAAACACTCATCTCATGCTCAAGACCAGTAACTTGCTTTATCAGACAAAACTGTAATGAACAGAATCAGCTTTACTACAGGATACAAGCAGGTGTTATCACGTACATACCTGAAAATGTCAAAACTATTGCAAATATACTGAGATAATTGTTAAAAATCTGTGGTTTTAATAAAGTGAGAGCAGAAAGCCGACCAGCCTAAAAGCCATCATCATTGTGTGAGAATGGAGAATTCATTTGGCTTCACTAACTGTGGACAAATCATGATCTCCCTTAGGCCATAACAAAACAAAGCCTCTTTTATCAACACCACCTTGCAGTTGTATATCCGGTGTAGTCCTCAAGACTTAGTATACTTGCCTGCAACTCAAATCACAAGAGTTGGCCTTGGTTTCTACAACCCACTTTGTCCCTTTCACTTTTTGTTCTATCTCACAATAATTGGGAGGAAAAAGTCAATTGCATGCACTGCCCATTATCTCTGAAACAAAAATTTTACTCCCTCACTTATCTGTATTCCAGTATAACCCAGTAAACAAAGATTACTTCAAGGCTGTGATGGATGATTCCAGGAAAACAAGCTTGTTTCTCAAATCATGCCTTTTCTCTGCAGTTCCTGTTCAGCCAAAAACATTGCTAAACTGTGCCAGTGTTTAACCAAATGTGCGATTGTGTGATTTCCAACCTCCACTGGTTCACAGCAGCCCTTTTTCAGCTGTAAAATAGCTGCTGGTACTAGAAACTAGAACACTCTTTTCTGATCCATCTTTCTAACCTGCAGGGAAACGGTCCTTGACGACACTCCATCTTTGATCTGCTCTCTCCTCAAAGTTGTAATAGACAGAGAAGAAGCTGCAAGTGTGCCTAGTACCAGCAGCTGCTGCAGCAGCAGACAGGCCACTGAGGGCTGTTTCTGAAATTGGATTTATTCAGAAGTGCTGCAGTACACATTTTAACTGCACATTTAGTAGCCTGGTGCTTTCTGCTGCCTCAGCAATGACACAAATGAATGCCTTGTTTTGAAAGCTACCACCTGTAAAAGGAAGACTATACGGGTGACACATTGTTATGTGAGTGCTTTTTGTGTTTGTGTTTCCTTTTTGTCTTAACTGACATTACGTCCCCAACATCAATTGATCATTCGCTAAACCCCTCTCTCGAACAGCAATTGTCCAATCATTAGTATAGCAAGACTAACTAGGCACAGCAGGCCTGTCGAGCTTTGAATTTCTTCACATGTTGAAGCACTGGAACTAGGACACTGGGAAGTGTGATGCTCTCCATTAAAAGAATGTGTAGGGTGGTGTCTTTTTTTCTGCCTTTCCAAATTTACAAGAGTAGAAGCGTAAAGAATGGATAAACATGCTCTGACATAAGATGCAATCATCACTTGGAGCCAGAGTCTGTGCAGTAGGGATCAGGGTTGGCGCCTCAGAATCAAAGTCCCGCCCATACGCCCGGCAGATTCAAGGGCTAAGCTGTCAATCATGACGTGAAACCCCCGTTAATTGCTTCAAATTAAACAAGAGTTATCAGAAAAATTTATATTTTCACGTAAAATTACAAGAACTATCTAAAATGCCAGAAACCATCTTTGGGATTAAAAGTATTTTAAGTATACTTTGATTTTTTTTAGTTCGGCCCATGTCCCGTCTGTTAACATGGAGGCACTAGGCTTTATGACCTATAATGCCTAGTCAGCCACCAGGGGGCGATCGAGAGGTCTTGGCCTCACTTTCGAAGAGCTCTCATGTTTTCCATCTTTATTTCATGGTTAGTGCTCATCCTGAAAGCCTTTTCTCTTGTAACACGAAAAGTGGAAACATATAGTTTGAAAATACGATATAAGTATATAAGCCAACCAGCCAAAGAGGTTTATGTTAGAATGAAATAACAGTTTGGACTTTTTTTGTCCTCATCTTTTAGCATTATATTATGTATATAGCATCATCAAGTGCACATTGAAGACCCTTTTCTTTTACAACATTTTTGTTTTAAAAGGACTCAGCTGGAGAAACGAAAATGTCAGCCACAGGGTTTTCAGCCAACTCGTGGGACTAACGTTAGTTTAATTATTTAGCAACAGCTGATCAAATCTGCCAGCAATAGTTGTCATTTCAGCTGACAAAATCAACAAGAGAAAGGCCTCCTGTGTGTTTCAAAAATGACTAAGAATTTCGTCCCTCGTTATCAAATGTAAACTGCTTTTCCTTATGGGAACCGAAAGCTTAAGAGGCATTACTGGGCTTTTCAGCTTTCTTCCATATATGATGTAGATTGAATATGTTTGGGATTTTGGACCGTTGGTCTGTGAACTGTGATTATTGTTAACATTTTATAGATTAAATGCTCGAATTAATCAAAACAATTTGATTAATTTGTAATGAAAATAATTATAAAGTGCAGCCGTAATTAAACACATTCACAGAACTTCATCAGCGCATTCATTAAACTCTCACACAGAAACACAGAGACACACCGTGCACACACAGACACACCATCATCAACAGCAAGGCACAGCTACAGGCAGAGATCCAGTCTGCGTCACCCTGTGAACACTTATCAGCCAATGAACAAGCTGTCAGTGAGGTCTAACAGTGGCTGAGCTCATTTCTGAAAAGGAGTGTGTGTGATTTTACAGGCAAGCCAGCATATGTGTGCTGTAACTGAAGCTGTAATAGAAGGCTTGAGGACTATGCTGTGGTCATTAGAGCGGGATGGATAGACTTTTTTCCCCCCTCTGACAGATCTGTCAAATGGCTGCATGTACGTGACGATACTCTCACAGACTCCCACACTAGCAATTAGTGTGCTAGCCTGCCCATACTTGCACACAGTAGCACTGTAGAAATGCACACACACACACACACACACACACACACACACACACACACACACATATTGTGCATGTGTACAGGCATGCATGCTGACAAAAACATACATGAAACCAAAACATCCACACTCACACATTATCCAAGCTATTGGCTGTTGTAAGTATAAGTATAGAATTATGTTGAGGGAACAGGAAGAGGAAGAGTTCAAATAAACATATCACATTCCTAGAGAGTCACTGTTGTATGCATGATCCAACAAGAAAGGCATCTCTTTCATTGGTGGTGTATAAACTCACTAATCATAGCCACTGCAACAAAATGCCACTAGAATAAACCAAATTATCAAGCACAAATAAGACTATTGTCTATTTCAAATATTGGAGTGCAGACACAAAAACTCTGAAAGCTGTTATCTTCCTGAGAGTAAAGAGTAGTGAGTGCTGATTGATGCTCACCAAGAACAATGTAACAAATTAACATCAATTGGCTGAAGAAAATCAATTAAAAATATAAAAGCCTGACTAGGAGCGCAGATGTTTGCTGCCTGGCAGGAAAGCAGGTTGAGACAGAACTGCATTTCTCATCAAATGTGACCATCACACATAGTAAGATAGTGTGTCCGGCCAAATGTGTCAAAATCATTCCTTTATTTTAATGATGACTACATACATATTCAGAAACCTTGTAGACAGAGACAGAGCCCCTCCTGCAGCACTGCTATGCTGACACATGCAAATGCACAAGGAAGACCAGAGATAAATGATTGCTTTTTGTATTTTATCATGTGGTGACTAAAGCTCAGAGAATATAATTAAAATCATGCTAAGAAGAAGACAGAGAGTCGAGAGAAACACACAAGGTGGCACAGAGCAGGAAATCAAGCCTGCATGTGGTTCACCTTGAGTCACACCAACATATCTCACATATCTTACATGTGCTCAGTCCACATTGGCTGGCATCACTTTATCATTCGTTTCAGTGATATTGTCATCACTTTACATTGCTAGCATCATAAGCTTTACTTTCTCAGCACTAGTTCAGAGACAGGCCTTCCATGACTACGTTTATTTAGCATTGTGTATCAAAATACTAGTGGCTGAGAATATTCCGCATGGGGGTGTATGTAACAGATTTGCTCAACTGTAGCTCACACACAGTCACTTATTTAATTTAGACTGTTTAATATTTCCATAGATTTTATTAAGTTTTCATCTTAATAGTTCCCATGTCTCCATAAGAGTTGAAGAGCAGTTAGCTACCATAACTTTATATATACAAATAATTTTATTGTGCCCTTAAAAGATATGTTCACATTTGCTCTCAACTGTACTTGAGAAGCTATTGGTAGCTGTAATTGTTCCTCTTGTCCATGTTGGCTGCAAAAAGAAGTAGAACTTTTAATATAAGAGTTAAAGGACAAACTCCACTGTCCTTGTTTACTTCACAAATGTATTTTAAAGTACAGACGAAGCTAATATGAGCCTTAAGCAGTGTGTTTAGACTAAATAAAATAGGTATATCTTCCAAAGTTAGACAGCAAGTCCCATCCTTTCATGATGCATTATTATTGTTTTACTCCATACACAAATCTATACAGTGATTACAGATTATGTATGTTTTTTATCTTGTGTCAAGGATAACTAAGTATTGTCCTGTGTCCTTATCGCCTCCTGCAGGACGATGCCCAGCAGCTCTTTGCCCTGTCTGCAGCTGCTGAAGAACAGGGCATCTTTCCTGATGACCTTGCCAATGTGATCAGGCGATTGTGGGGCGACAGCGGCATACAGAGTTGCTTTACGCGGTCGCGAGAGTACCAGCTCAATGACTCTGCTGCATAGTGAGTGTGAATTTGTATGTGTATTTTATGCTGTGATCCCACTTAGGAATCAAATATATTTTTTTCTCCAAAAATGATTCTACTTCAACAAAGTTGGAAATATTTTCCAGCGTGTTGGTGTGCTTAAATCTATGATTTTTAATATTCTACTCACTTTTGTCCAATTCAGGTTGCCATTTATAGGATTTACATATCCTCTTCTACTTGTACATCAATCAATATGCAGTCTGCTGCTGCATACACTGGATTCTATGTTCCACCACTATAAATGTAAATGTAACGAAGCAGGAAGCCTTACAGCTGTTCGTCAGGTGTCCTCTTTTCCTCATCTTGCAAGTGCCTGCACTGTAGTATTATTTTGATACGATTATAAAACAGCTCAAGAAAGTGACAGTGTTGATTGTATTTGGTTGATAGTTGCCATCAGATAGTACATGTTCTTCTCCCAGTGTTGTGATGGATCTAATGGTGCAGTCCTTTCAGCTTCTCTTATATGCACTGCAGTGAAAAACCTTTCTTTAACTTCTCAAGGGAGCTATAAGACTGGAAAGATAGTCCAATAACTTCCCTTTAGTGATTATTTCTCCCTCTCTGGGTTAGATTCTTTAATATTGTAACTTGATAAGCAGAGCACAGAATACTTGTCTTGGGGGAAGAAAAAAATGAGAGTCATCGTTTACTTCAAAGGAAATTATCCTCCAAGTAAACTATGAGAATTGATAGTTCTGATAATAAAAACCCCAAGTGACCCCTTTGATTTTGTGTTTTTTTTTTTAACAAGTTGATTACTTTTGTGGTAGTGCAATATAACAGTCAGAAATGTTGCTTTGTGAGCTGTGGTCATTATAACTCTTTCATCTCATTGGGAAATATTTTGTAATGGCTGCAATGACGTGAAAGAAAAATATTTGTTTAATCATTTATTCTGTTTTTATTCACTTAAATAAGTCTGCCAGGTTTTATTAGCTCATTAATTATTGTGGATGTTGTGATCTGTACAACTAAAATGCTGGATTTATATCTCTTTCTGCGTGTGAAGCATAGGTTGATTCGACCACTAAAGCTTCCAGCTTGAATGAAGCAATCCTTTATGCACTTTGGGCAGGATGTGTCAAACATGGTGAAGATGCTTCCTCACTCCCCTACACAAAGCATGAAGGCATAGAGGGAGAGAGGGAAAGCAAGACAAGAGTTGTGATTTGAGAACTAAAAGAGAGTGAAAAGAAAATAGATGCAGCCAGTTTGATAGATGGAGAGAAGGAAACAACATACCGTCTTTTTCTCTCTTCTGTGTGAAATGTACCTGTTCCTTTCAACCTTTTGCATATTTTAAATACTGCTTTTTAAAGTAACGGAGGCCCAATTATCTTACTTTTCAGAGAGAAATCATCAGATTGACTTCAGAGTATTTTTCACCTTGGAATTTTGTATTTAATCAAATCACAACAGGAAGAATAAAACATTTATTTTACAAACATCATAGATTCCCTAAAATGGAGCAAATCAGTAAAGAATAGTGCATGTTGCCATAGAAATCCTCCCACTAGGGATTATATGTACAGTAGTACTAGTAGGTCTAGTGGTAATCCCTTAGTGGTTTGCAATAGACATTTCAGTGAGCCATTTCATTTGGAGAATTATATGTGAGTACAGAGTATGTGCACTGTTGATATTTGGCCTCCACGCTCTGACCTCATATCACTCCCCACAAGCATACACCAAACTGCATTAGATAGAGAGCCTTACACCAGGTATCTGTTGCAGAAGACGTAATATCTAGTGAACTGAGGGGCATAAATTGAAATAACGCAAAACCGCCAGATATGCAACAGCAGGCCAAGACATCAGCTATGCAGCACAGAAATTTGGTTTAGATCAAACAGACAAATCATTTTTAAAGTGTTACGTAGATATGAGGTTGAGATGCAGCAGATAAGTACATATATGTTTATATAAGCTACAAGTTGGCAAGGAGTGCAGATGAGTGAACAGTGTGAACAGTGTCAGCAATGTGAATATACTGTATTATAATGTGATGAATAAATAGCAATGTGGATGTGTGGATGACTACCTACAGTATCTTGTGTGTGTGACACAAGCCACGATGAGTTCTAACTGAGCCCATACTACTGCAGGGAAATAATAATGGGTATGGGCTGCATGCAAGACAACAATCATGTTTACATCCCCAGAGCTAATATACAATATTACCTTCTACCAGAGACCCGAGTCTGCAATGAGCCACCATGAAACCCCTACGCCAACAGTAACAACCATGGGGGAAATATGTAAAACCAATTCAGCGCATACACTCATACTCAAACATGAGTACACCGCTATGTAAAGTCAACAACTATGACAAGAAAACTTTGCTGTAAGATTTACCATAAAAAAATAACCCACAGTTCATCCAGCAGTGACACCAACCAAGACACTGCCAGTGAGCAAATTATGTACTCAGTGTAGCTTGATGATGTGAAGTTGTGATCTATAGCATCATGTTGCATGTTGATCAGTATTTTTATAGTAGCAATGTATCAAATGACAGTATGAAAGTAGTTGCTCGTAGTGATGAACCTAAAGAGAATTATCACCTGAATCTGCAGTTCCCCCTCAGCTTTCTAGATCACCGTGTCAACAAGGTGCTGACATGTTATTTGATTAACAGCTTAATTAAACTTGATTTATCCCAACTGCTGTTTGGAGCCACAGTTCTGGGAGGATACAAAGTGATGAGTCTAACCTGCATAATGCATTTGGTAATAATTAACTATTACAAGGGCTTAGCATAATCCCTTAAAAGGCATTTAAAGAGTCTAATGAAATTATATCAAGTAAAGTTGAATGGTCTGTTATTGAACGCAGCAAAATGACTCACTCCACAGAAAATTTCTACAGTTCAAAGCAGTTCAGTAAATCGCAGACTGTTTTGTCTGATGTTCTATATGTCCATATGTTGTGTGTGTGTGTGTGTGTGTGTGTGTGTGTGTGTGCGCCTGTATGTATCTCACTCGCAGGTTGCAAATCTTGTTGAAATCTTGATCTCTATCTCTCTCTCTCTTAGTTACCTGAATGACCTGGAGAGGATAGCTAAAGCAGATTACATCCCCTCCCAGCAGGATGTACTGCGAACTCGGGTCAAGACCACTGGCATAGTGGAGACTCACTTCACCTTCAAGGAACTGCACTTCAAGTGAGGCCATTTAGAAATAAATACATGTAAAAAAAAAAAAAAAAATAAAACACTGCAAACTCGTCTCCCTTTCTATGAAAACAAGTGGTTTAGCCATTTGCAACCAATGTGAGAGTCCAGAGATCTCTCACTCAGCAACTCACCCACAGTGAGAGGGTGTATTTGACATCTAGTAACCTGAGTGGTAATATGACCCCCTAGTGTTCACTCATCTCTGACGCTTGCTTGCAGTGTTATTTGATGATACATTAAAAACTGCCACTCTTACTAACCACACAAGAAGACATGAAACATGACCAATACTGAATAAAACAGAGCTGTCCTTGATACTATTTTGAGAGAACAGCAGGTCTTGGATATTAAAGTATCTGGGAAAAATGTGGGTATGTTGTCACAAGTGTTTTCACTGCACCAGACTCCACACCTGCTCTAAACAAATGGCTAGACTTAATTTTGGTCTCAACATTATTAGCAACGAGGGGCGACTGACCCTCCTGGCTTGAAATGTGCAATTCATCTTCTAAGAAGCCAAATTATACCTGCAATTAAAAGCTTAATTATCATGATTGCACTGAGAGCTGAGGAAATGAATTAAATCCTGCCCACTGTGCTCTTGCTCAATATAACAAGAGCTTCATATAGTGCTAACATTTGAGTGTGTCCTCCATGGTACAATATTGTACTGTAGGTCTTACATAAAATATGCTCTGACCCAGCCTGAGCACTCATGTGTGGGATAGTAATGGATGTATAGCTATATCTCTTAATGTGCGAGAGATACACTAAGTGTTTAAACATTTGATAACCCATTATACTGAAGCAGATCCAACTGATGTATAGTGTATAGGTCAATATATAAAATATATCCTATAAGAGTGTAAAGAGTAGGGTGCCCGGTTGGCTCGGTGGGTGGAGCTGGAGACCCATGTGCCAGGGCTGGGTCCTTGCTGCAGCGGCCCGGGGTTCGGGTCCGACCTGCAGCCCTTTGCTGCATGTCATCCCCTCTCTCTCTCTGCCCCCCTTTCCTGTCTCTCTCTAGCTGTCCTATCTAATAAAGGCAATAAAAGCCCCAAAAAATACTTTAAGAGTGCAAAGAGTAGATACGTGTGTCTGAAATTAGAATAAGAGGTATATTCTTCTGATTCTTATAGATCTCAGTTATTTTGTTTATTTTCTAATACACTACACGTTGTGAAGCAGCTGAACAGTTCTGGATAATGAAAAACAAAACAAAAGAAAAAACAGCAGCAGCCACATAGCTCTGATGTGATCTGTTTCCTGATAAACTCTCTGATATTTACCTTCTGTCACAGCCTCAATATTTGGCCTGAATAATACATGGAGGCAATCAATAAGAAAAAAGTCACATTTTTGTAATTCTGTCCTGTTTGCCATAATAAGTACGGAAAGGAAATACTTACAGATACAGAGAAATGTCATCTTTTGACAATGGCTTAATTTAGATTCATCAAAATGGTGCTTCTTGGGTGCCTGCTAACCTAAACTGGGTTTGCTGAAACCTCATATTCGCCCTCCGTATCATCAAAATATGGTTGCTGGGTGTGGTGAACTGTTAACGCTTCACATCTCTAACAGCTTCGATCACAGTGCTTGGCGTCCCCATTAGCCAGTGCTTTGCTCTGAACTTAGAGGCCTGCCCGCCTCTCTTAGCCCGCATTGACCCTGCAGTCTTTTATCAGATATCTGACAGACACCTCTACACCCCCTCGCCTTTTTGTTCTCAAACCAGCCTCATGAAAGCTTAATGTACATCCAGGGATGGAATATCACACTAACTTTCTCCTTCCTTCCTTCCTTCTTCACCATCATTCTTCCTGAAATGTCCTCTTCTATGCCCTGTTTTACCTCATCAGCTTCACCTTACTGTCTTTCATTGTGACCTTCTTCCCCCACTAGCACACACTCACAGTGTATCTCCTTTGCTTCGTCCCCTTCACAGAATGTTTGATGTTGGAGGACAACGCTCAGAGAGAAAGAAGTGGATCCACTGTTTTGAAGGAGTCACAGCCATTATTTTTTGTGTTGCACTGAGTGCTTATGATCTGGTGCTGGCTGAGGATGAGGAGATGGTGAGGACAAATCTACTTTCTGCATGTGTGTCTTCATCTACACGGATGATATCATTTTACGAGCTTCATAAATCTGCTTTTTGGTTCATTTTCAGGGATAGTTAAGATTAAAAGGTAACCCTTCCTTTATTATAGCTTAATAATAGCAAGCTTTAACGATCCATTTGCAGTTGAAGCAGTAGAGTGAAATTATGTGGTGAAAGTTAATTTTTCAAGTGACTTGAACCATTTGACCTCAATTTCTTGAAATGCTGATGACTTTAAAGAAACTTCTCAGAAGAGACTTGGCCAGAAGATGCTCTGAAGAACCTCCTCTGGACTGGTTATTCCTTACATGTAAAATATTAAACAACATCTTCCCCTGGTGGCAGCTCTGATGTGTTGTTGTGCTTTCAGTGGAGGCCATTAGCCATGACCAATTTTGCTTCTCTTCAGAACCGAATGCATGAGAGCATGAAGCTGTTTGACTCCATCTGCAACAACAAGTGGTTCACTGAGACCTCCATCATCCTCTTCCTCAACAAGAAGGATCTCTTTGAGGAGAAGATCACTCGCAGCCCCCTCACCATCTGCTACCCAGAATACACAGGTACACAGTGGAATATCAGGGGTCGCACTACACCTGAGAGCAGCATTTTAAGAGTTAAACATCCGTACAATCACAGACAGGTTGCTAGCAAATCACAAGATAAGAAAACCTAATCTGTCATCTTAATGACAAATCACTTCCTCATATTCCCAGGAGCCAACAAGTTTGATGAGGCAGCCAGTTACATTCAGACCAAGTTTGAAGACCTGAACAAGAAAAAGGACACAAAGGAGATCTACACCCACTTCACCTGTGCCACTGACACCAAGAATGTGCAGTTTGTCTTTGACGCAGTCACAGATGTCATTATTAAGAACAACCTGAAAGACTGTGGTCTTTTCTAAAGGTAGGATATGTGAATGATGGAAATGTCATCAAACAGCTTTAGGTAATTTAGTGGACCTAGAGCTGATATGATTCGTCAAGTTATCAATTAAGTGGCAATAATTTGATAATTGGTTGTTTAAGTCATTTTTTAAGCAAAAATGCCTAAAACCTTCTGGCTTTAGCTTCTCAAATGCCATTATCTATCTATTTTCTGACCAACAAATATTTGATTCATGAAGAAAATTGCCACAGGTCCCTAAATAAAAACTGGTTATTAAACAGTACAAATTTAATAATAGACTTGCCTCTAACTGAATATTTTAAGTCATATTGTGCATGTACCTGTATTATACCATCTACTCACACAAAGCCTTGGAGTAGCTCAGATTTCCTCTAAAAGAGGTAAAAGTAGCTTAAGTGGAGTTTTTCAGTGATATAATTTTTGTACATATGAAGGCAAATGTGTGGAGTAACTGTGGAGAGACTATGTTGGTGTAGAGGCTGTTGAGATTTTTATACGTCATTACTTTGAGCACCACAGATATGTATTTCATTCAAGTCATTCAGTCATTCTTCATTCAAGAATGGAGTTAGACATCTCAAAACCTCAGCAAGTGAAACCAGAACATTAGCATGGCTAGGCACTACTTGGAATAAATGTGTTTTGTGTGTGGCACTTTTTACTTTGTGTGATTCACTGTAATTGCTGAGGAACAGACTAAACAGGATACATTAGTAAACACATTCAAGTCCTTGTTTTTTAAAATAGTAAAATAGCAGCTTCTCTCTCTACATTTTTTATTATATTTGTCTAAAGTTGCTTTTTTGTTGTCTTTCTGTTCATGCAGGACAATGCCCGACGCGCACAGACTGCATGAGAGACTGCAACTGCCATGTAATGATTATTGATTTTCATAATGAAAACCCTAACAGACTTGATTCCTAGAGGGGAAACCTTAAAGAACTTCAACAATCAATGATTTGCAACCATCACATTCTCTGTCAATTGTGTTATTATGTTTTTTATATATATTTCTTACTGCTCTTGATCAGGGGTTCTCATACTATTCATACTGAACGCCTGTAAATAGATCTTTGACCAAGGACCCCCTTACTGGACACCAATTGCTAACATTCAAGGGCACTTACCTGAGAATTGTTGTTTTTAAATTACATTTGTAACATAAATTATATTATCTGACTGGCTTAAGTGGAAAATAATTGTTGGAAGAGTAAAGCCAATAATAATAACCTATTATCTCATTGTGTCACATGGAAAAGTTAAGTATTTTTCATCCTTAGTAGGCATTCAAGGACCAGTTTGAGAACCACTTGTTAAAACATTAGTTAATAAAAGAAAATTTCATTTGTATTCAGATCTCTTTCTCTCTCTTTTGAGTTTTTTAGGTTTTCATTTTACTTTCCGTTTTTGCCTTGAAGCTTAATAAGAGAATACAATACAAAAAACAACTTTTTATAAAATCACATTAATTTATGTTCCCTAATGTTGGCATTTTATGAACCTTTTGACTGCACAGAGCTTATTTTTAGAAGAAAACAAACAAGCATGGAGAATGAAAATGGATGAAGGGAAAATGTTTTTTGTATAATGTTTACACAGAATCAATATACACCGTTGTATAGTGCATTGTTCTGCATGACTGTCCATAGATTAGCTTGTATCCCACACAAACTGAATAACATTCCTTAAGTAACTGAAAACAGAAATGGTTATGTGTCACTTTTAAGATATCTGCAAGATTTTAAGTGGTTATCTCTGTTCCTAACATGGATTGTTCTGTACTGTTTGTTTCATTCCAAGTCTTTTTACATATGTTTGTGCCTTGATATACGTTTACACTTGTTCTTTAGTGACATGCTATCTCCATAGTGTGAATTAGGGCTATTTCTACTCCACTTCAGTTCACATAACCTATGGTTTAAGATGCACCATAACACAGAGACAGACAGATGATAGTTGTTCATTAATATCAAGGTAAAAGTCACTTGTTAAATGTAAATAAAGGTTTGGTCACATGATCATTTATTCTACAGTGTGATGTGTCAAAAGGAAATCTGCCATTTATTCTGTTCTTCCATGTTTGGACCAACATTCTACTAAAGATAAACCAAAAAAAGCATATTCGTAAAAGGTGAGATTGCGAACCAGAGCACAGTTGCACTGGCATTGCACTAGAAAATGGAGCATGTGAAAATAGTGATTTAATTCATGGCGACTCTCAGAAAAACCTATTTTTCTTTAAGGTAGGTGACATGAATCTATTTTGGTACCTTGGATATTGCTGGAAAGTAATTTTGAGTACTGAAGTACTCTAAGTATTTCTGAAGTACTTACTTGAGTATTTGCTTTATAGTATATAGTATAGTATATTATATTTTGGTATTTTTGGGGCTTTTTATTGCCTTTAATTGATAGTGACAGCTGAAGATAGACAGGAAAAGGGGGGCAGAGAGTGAGAGGGGATGACACGCAGCCAAGGGCCACTGCAGCAAGGGCTTAGCCTTGGTACATGGGGCCCCAGCTCTACCAGGTGAGCTATCCAGGTGCTCCACCCCACTGTATTTCAGAGGAGAATACTGTATTTTTACTGTACAATATGTATTTGAAAGATATAGTTGCTAGTTAAATCTGGTTTCTATTCAGACCTCACATAAACACATTGTTGTATAATACATTGCAGACATTTTTAACGATTAAACCAGTAGTTCATAACCTTTTTGGCTTGCGCCCCCTAACCAGAACTCTATATTTGGGGCTCCGTGTTATGCTGCAGATTTATTTACATAACTGTTTAAGGCCCCAAAAATGAACAGAGGTTTGTGTAGCATAACTTTTTTTATCCTTTCATACTCCATTAATCATCTCCTGACCCTTATGATGATTTGGAAGGCCCAAACCCTATGTTGGTCACATCTGGACTAACAGTACTTCTTTTTAAAGTAGTGAAAACTAGCTCTACCACTTTGCTTTCTGCTTGTGGATTATATTAATGATCTAATACTGTCATAATAATCAGTCATTTTGATCCTTCAAGTCTTGGCTGATATTACTTCAGTGAAGGATCAGAGCACCTCTCTCCCACCACTGGCTGAATTACAATACAAAGTGTTATAAACATCTAAAGGGGTGAGGTGACTGAGGAGGTGCAGTCATGAATGGTTTGCTCATCTGCAAATGAAATGAGAACTTGAGCCCTGTTTGCATTTGTAAACACCAATTAAGTAAAGAATGGTGAATGCTCCGTTTGCTATGCTCAGACTTTAATAAATGGCGTGAAAAGGTTTTTTTTTATGCAGAGACAATGGAGAATGGTAATATGGGAGGTGCTGTTTACAAAGATCCACAAGGTGGCGACATGTAGATTTCAGTAAATCAGCACATGTATGCAGAGGCTTTTCAGTCACAGCAGCTGCCCAAGACAACTTTTACAGAAGTTGTTTATAGTGTTAGTTTATACTCTTGCATTAATACACACAGCCTCGTGAAACTACAATTATTGATCTTAAAAATAAAGTAATAATATACTGAATTAAGTAATCAGTGTGAGTGATATTTAGTAGTATCCGGATACAATGTTTAATAGAAAACGTTTCAAAAGTCCCTGTGTTCATTTAATCAAATTAATTGTTAAATAAAAATGGTCTAATTATCCACCTCCAGATGCAGAGTCCCGACAGTGTAGTACAATGCAGTTACAGTAGGAACCGCTGTAATTACACAGGGAGGTATCCTGTTTCAGGCCACTTGCTATTGGCTGATTCTGTGATGCCCTGCGCTGATTTGCTGTAGCGAAAGACTCAGCATCGTCAAAGTCCGCAGACAGACCTCCATCTGGTTCAGAGGACAGAATACACAGAGAGATACATCACATCGGATCAGCTGTAAGTCTGTGGACTTGTTGATTGAGCTGGGAATAATTATATTTTCACCAAATGCGAAGGTGAGTGTTTTACTAATAAATGACTGTATGTCTTAAGAAGTGTCATGCATGTGACAAGAGCCCATCACTAATCTAATGCATTGCTTTTCGTTGCAGAAACTATTAACAGGATTCTAAACTTCGCAGCAGACATTTACTCACAAGCAATGGTAAGTTGTCTTTACTTTTTTTCCACGTGTTTTTATATTTTACTGTTTTGCAGATGCATTGCAGTGGCTTGATTGTGATTGCAAAAGGCCCTGAGCAGTGTTTTTTTCACAAGACAGCATACATTTTTGTGCTGTTTCTTATTTTTTTCCTTTAATGACTGGTCTTTTCTGAGTTTTTTTTTTTTTTTAAGCTAGAATGTTTCCCCCAAAGTCACAGTTAATTCAAACCACTCTGCCCCTTTTTTCTCAATTTTGTACAACTGGATGAATCTCCTCGTTGTGTGAAGGCAGCCAAGGAGAACAGGGCATTTTAAGAAGTGTAGACTGACCACAGAGTCCCACTGAGGATATCCCTGTATGACAGATAAGTCCCCTCCAGGGGCCAAATGGTTCAGCACCCACAGCTGTGATAACATCATGGCATTGTGGTGTTCTTACTGCTCCAAGCCAAACACTGGCAGGACAGGGAGGGCCAACAAACTTAATATAAGAACTTAAAAAATCAGAAGCTCAAGAATTTTGATGTCAAAACTTGTGTTTTTCAAAGACATCTACTTTCAGCCACAAGTAAGTTTGCTAAGATAGTATTTTTTGTTTAATTGTTGTAAAGATTGTACAGTTTAGATAGCATATAGCAATATTACATCAACTGAATTGCATTGATTTAAGTTTCTCTGAAGGCTGGAAGATGGTGTGATTCTTAATTAATATGTGATTGTTGTGTAATTCCAAAATGTTGCTGTCATTTCCTGCTTTATAATACAGACCAGCCAACATCCTGTGAGTTAGGGGAGTCCAGAGAGGATATGTGCCTCTTCACTCCTCTATGATTCACTGCACTTTGTTCAAACTTCCCCTCCTGCTTTAGGAGGGAGAGTTTTCCCATTATAAAATGTGCATCCTGTTCTCAGAGCCACAACATTTTTATTTTCATTTTCATACTGCATGGGATGGTCTCCATAAAGCTTCTCTGAGGTTTGTCAGGAATGCTTCACTTGTTATATGGTCATAAAGCAGAGTGATCTCAGCTGGTAAAAATCTTATTGGCCCAGTTCTGGAAATAACGGAGGGAACTGTGCCTCAGCTCGGCCCGGCCACGGCATGATGGGATAGTTTGGAAGCCAGCCTAACTGCTCTTTAGACCGCCGCAAAAGCCGGGCCATAACTTTTTGGTTAGAAGTGTTGTTTTTAAATAGACTTAAGATTTAAATTTTGCCTGCACCGCTTAGTCTCTGTGTCTTTCTCGTTGTGTAGCTGTGTTTAGGGGATTCAACTGACTGCCTCCGGGACCAAATGCAATACATGATGAGATCCCTGCAGGACCTGAAGCAGATCAGCCGGCCGAGGCCACTGAGTGAACCGTGTGTTCAGTCATTTGCTGTAACACGGCTTTGCAAACAGAGGGCACAGCAAGAGCGGCTCACACGTCTACGTGTTTCTGATGCCAGTGAAGCGAGCACATATGACTCTGCCTGCTGCCTGGCCAGCCCCCTGGAAGAAGAAGAAGAAGAGCACCAAGAGCATGAAAGGTTGACACAAGGGTCCCCCAGCAGCGAAAAGAGTCTGGACCTCGACTCTGGTTACTCTGAGGCTTCTTGGCAGGATGAAGGTGTGGTACTGAGGAGAACCAGAAATGTGAGAGTCTCCTCTTCTGCCTGCCTTCGCACAAACAGAGGACCTTCTGGCAGAATCCGGCCTAAATCAACCTCGGACGCTTGCCTGGAGCGCTGGACCTCATTTGAGGCCGGTGACCCAGAGGACTGGACAACATCGCTGCTGAGCCGCAGCAGGAACAGACAGCCCCTGGTTCTGGGGGACAACAGCTTTGCTGACCTAATTAAGAACTGGATGGACCTACCAGAGAGTCCTGAGCCAGCACAACTAAAGCCCAGTGCAGGCCGGCGTCTTGCCAAAGACATTTTGGTCAACATGCGGCGCAGACTTGCTGGGATGTCTAAAAGTGTGGAGGTGAGACCAAGGCCAGCAGACGCCACAAGGGTCAGCAGGGCTGCAGAGGCTTCCAAACGGATGTCCTGTCCTGTGGGACTCCAGGCTCTAAAACCCTTCTTTCACCAGTCCCACACAGGCCTACACCAATTGGACACTGACTTCTACCAGTTCACCGCTCTCATGAAGACAGGCAGCCGACAACCCATCATATGCAATGACATTATTGGATACATTTAAATGAGGCTGTAACTACGGACTGACCCTTTATCACAATATATAATAAGATGGCCCTATTTGGATTTTGTCCACATTGTTGATACATCTGGAATAAAAGTTTTTTATAATGAAAATGTTTTAAGGTTCTTAATCATTCATGACACAACATGCAATGTTATAGGGGTGAAGGGTCATCGATGCATTATTTTGTATCAACTTTTAAGATCAATCAGTTTTTTGACAGATACAGTGATTGGGTGTGAACCTGACAAAGCATGTGTTTTTTTAAAGAAAAGATATGTACAATCAACATCTCAGCTTACAAAAAAAAAATTCAACAAAACCGTTTCCTGGTTAAAAATAGGAGTTTCGGTGTGAAACATGCATCACTATGGTCATCATAGTGACTATAGGGATGCATGAACAATTTAAAAAGATGATAAGAGAACTGAAGTCTATTAGTGAAGTACACAAACTTCCTCATGGACACATTTGTATTGTTGCATTATTGTTTAATAACAGCATCTTTCAATTGCAGGCCAGGTTACAAAGTGATAGTATTAGTATTAGATCATTTCAGAGAGGATTCTTTATGACAAGATTCAAATACAGCCAACACGGAGAGCAGAGCATTGTAAAGATGACACCATGTTAATGTAACGGCATGAAGTGAAACACATTGTGAGGTTGTGGAAAAGGGCTTGACATGCTCAAAAAGCCATCTGAGAACAGATGAAGGGCTTTGTAGATGTATTCAGCTTCTCCACTCTGACCAGCTATGGGATTCTTCTGGGAGGGAGCGGGTTACACGTGTGCTTGGGATCGGGATTTACACAAGACAGCTGTGTCCAGATGGCAAGAGAACACGTCAAAAAGCACTGTACCTACTGTACCAACTGCCTGTTCTGACCGCACCCCTTTAACATCGTGCTCAGTCTGACCTGAATTAAACCTTGAAACAAGGCCAGCACTGCCCCAGCAGAGCCAGATCATCTAATCCATATGCCTTGGCAAGCATCTTCACAACCTCCTCTTAGCCCGACCTCTCAAAAGACACGTTTCACATAGCAAACGGAACTTTCTGGTAAAATTTCTGGTAATATTAGTATGGAAGTAAAAGTTTGCTACGTTTCCTCTTTTGCCAGAGAGTAAAAGAAAAAAGAGGAAGTTGACTTCAATATATGTAAATTTTTAAATATGTTTTGGGGCATGGCAGGGGCAGCAAAATAGCTTAGAGTGTGATTGTGGAATTACGCATTATCAAAGCGTGATGTTCACAATATGCCAACGCAATAATAAAAGCAAAATATTTATGGAATGGCATCATCATAACAAAACATTCAGATATTAATCTCTGTAAATAACAGCTAAAGCAACAAAATCAGCTTGTTTTTTGTTTTTGTTAAGTTGGTTTTGCCACCCTGACGCAGTTCCATGTTGATGGCTTCACAGCAGCAGGTATCTGATTGGTGGGACTGACTCATCGTCGCCCTCCTCTTCAACAAATGAGGGGAGGAACTCCAGCATCTTCTTGTGTGGAGGGATATCTTTCTTGGTGACCATCCTCACCACGTCAGACACACTGCAAAAATGTACAGCTCATGTAAGTTTTGTCCGGGAGGAGAGTAGGAATGATAGTGTTTAACACATTTTTTACATTATAAACCAACATTACATTAATTTAGCTTTTAAACAGTGTCTCCTCATCGTAACAAGGGATATGTTCCGTCATTACAATCAACACAAACACTGTAGTTTATTTTAAGGACTGACATATAAACATATGCACCATCCTGCTGCTGGATATAGTCACAAGCATAACAAATGTGTATTAATTCACTGCTGAAAATAGTCCCGAACAAATACACCATTTACTCCCATTTATGTAAGGTTAGCAAAAAACTACAGTGCTCAGCAGTTGTAGGGAACCATTTCACTTAAAAAAAAGATCTCAAATCTTATATTTGTGACCCATTTTAAGGGATTTACATTTACACAATGAATAAGCTTAAGGCTACAAAAAGTATTGAGAAATGGACAAATGCGCTGTCTTTACATGGTAATTGTGCACAAAATATAACAAAAATTTTATTTAATGTATTATAAAAACAAACTGTAGAATTTAATGATAAATGTTTGTTATTTGAGTTTTTAAGTTCTACATTCCTCCTTCACTGGCCCAAGACAGGAAGCTTGGGTCAGGGCGACTGCACAGGAAGTGACAACTGGAGAGGGCATTTGTCATGTACTGCTGTCCACATGGCCACCACTCTGCCCCTCTCCCCGTGTAGCTTAATCTAACCACAACACCAACACAAGGCAGCCCCCCCAACCCCCCCGCCCCCCAGAGACTTGAGCGTCTAAAACAGAAAAGTAAACTGCCTGTTTCATGATGAACATGAAGCCCTCACAGCTAAATTTAAGCAAAGAATGATTTAAATCAAACATTTCAATTTACTCAGTAAACTATTGGCTATTAGCCTTCTAGGTTAAACCTGATTTATTACTATTTTTTTCTTTCCTCCTGGATTCAGAACATCCCTGAGGGTCCATATTGTGCTGTGACTCATTTTTTGAACTGATGATGAGGAGAGTTCACAGCAGGAGGCATCTGATTCATTTCAAACACCCTGGGGCTTAGAAACGTGACTTTAATGTGCTGCAGCACTGAACAGGCCCAAACAGTTTGGCTTCTCAGATAGAGGGTAAAAAAAAGTTCACACTAATTTAACTGTTTAACTCTTATCCTCAACAAACAGAAGGACACCAGAGAAGGAGCTGTCTCAATCGTCAAGTGTTCAGTGATGCATGTGAGTGTGTCAACAGGCTCACTCCTCACAGGCTCAGGGGAAACACCTCATCCTGCCATTAGCTTCTAAACAAACAAAGGGAGACTGCGTATTGTCATTGTTTATGTGTGCAGGTTTACTTGCCATGTGTAGCCATGCATATGCAAAATTGCCCTCTGTCTTTGTCTGGCTGGACATACCTCTTTTGGAGCCTGTCTTCTTGCCCACTGTATATGACAGCTGCTCCGTAGAAGAGATGGGTGATGGTCAAGCTATATTTTTCCTGCACAAAGACACATAGTTAAATTTACGTTACAATATAACAAACACAAAAAGAGATGAACATAGAGTGTGGTTAAACAAAACCTGGAGCAAATAAGATCACTGGGCAGTTTATTTTCTCTTTGCCTCCTCAGAACAAACTCCAGCATAGTCAATAAACCAAACGACAGCTCAGGGCAAGAAGGTGCAACCACCCAATGAACCAGGTATGGTCTGCTATATGCAGCAGCCAGAAAAACAAACATCAAGATGATAAATCATGATCTATGCTATGGGATGGTGTAAGTGACAGCTTGGCATCTGCCAATGTAGAGGAAACAATGAGTATCACTTGTTACTGTGTGTGGTTGCTGGTGATAAGATAGAGAAACAATACAGATAAAATGTGTCAGTGCCAAAGCATCCAGGCACCAAAGTTATGGGTTCATTGCTGAACTTAACTAGTACAGACAACAGGGATTTCATGTACTTAATACTTGAAATCATGTACTAATTCCTGTCATCTGTCCAACAATTTGACTTAGACAGAAGATTGAATTGGAACAGTTCTGACATGTTTATCTACTCATCTATTAGCCTAGTCCCCCTGTGTATATGTTGTACAAGGCAGCATCTTAATTATAAAAGAAACATGATTCTATCCAGTTGTTTCAAATTATCTCAATGTACCCATCTGAGCACATTCCTTTCTAATCATAAAATCTAGATTGTATGATGCTATGTAGAGGCCTTAGAGGAAAGGTTTTGGGAAATGTGCATAGTCTATGTCTTGCTGAGAGTTAGATTATATCTATGTGTTATATATAAAGCTACCACAACCTAATTTAGCATAAAGACTTGAAATACGAGGGAAAAAAATAGCTAGGGTACAGAATCCACCTACCAACAAAAGTAAAACTCCCAAATTAACATGTTGTTAGAGGCCCAGTAACTTTCTGAAATTAATCAGCAGATGCAAATATATGTATTAGGCTTTTGACTCTCTCATTGGTACAAGAGCATAAACTTTATCTCAGCTCAACTGAAAGCACTACAGACACTGACTTAATGGAATTGTGTGTTTAGTGCCTTTGGTGCCACATTAACCATAGTTACTGAGATGAGTATGCATAAGTAGTAAACATATGAAATAGGGGGGAAAAAGGTTCTAAATATTGCCATTGGAATAAAGTAGATAGTTCAACAACAGCATGACCTTCCTCCAGGATAGCAGACAAGGGTCCTAGAGTTGTGAATGGTAGGTGTAAAGTGCCCAATCATTTGAAACAATGGGCATTGTGTGCACTGGAGGAAGGTGAACAGGTTTAGGAAAGAGAAGCGTGCATAAAATATGTAGCGCCGGGTGTGAAGAAAGTGTGTGTTTCCTTGCTGAGAGGAATAAGGAGGCTGTACCTTGATATACTGGACCAGATCTCCCAAGGTCATTTCCTGCTGACCGCCGCGTCTGCCCTCAACAAGGAAGCCATCCCACAGGGTGTATTTCTTTCCTGCAAGCTGCCGATAGACACGTTACATACACCAACACACACACACACACACACACACACACACACACACACACACACACACACACAGACAGACAGACACACACAGACAAAGTTGTCAGAATAAGCACTAGTTGCTGTGAGAGATGTGCAGCAAATGTTCAGTCCATAACAAGAGTCCTGGACAGACAGATGGACAGAGAGATTGCATTTTTCATCACTTTGAAAACAAGCAGCTGAGAACCATCAGCAGTAACAAGCCACGATGAGGTCAAGAAGGTGCTTCCTTATATATGATGAAGTGACTCGCTTGCTTTTCTCAAGTTTCCATCTACGAGACTTACTTCATTCTCACAGTTTAAGAATCTTCCTGTGCTAGTAAAAAAAATAAATACATGCAGTTATGTCGAAGATATTAGTGAAACTTGAGAATAAGTTGAAGAATGTTGCCTATAAAAGCTGCATCTGTCTGAATATAAATGTGTTGCTCTAAGCAGTGAAATAACAGCACAGGAATTTTTCCAGACACCTTGCCAGATTACACTTTAAGTAGCTGAAGTTCGAGCTTTGGGGGGCCATTTTCTTTCTGAATTTCCTGTTGTTCTTTGAGTCTTCTGTGTTAAAGAGACACACTTCAAATCTGTTTAAACAGGCTTAAACAGAGGAATCAAAACAGGGATAGTCTGTCAGTAATAGCAGCTTTTGTCCCCTGTCCGCTTTTACTGACAAATGTATATTGTGCTGAAATGATCAATAAATTAATAAGAAGAAAAATAATCTATGACAATTTAATTTTTTTATTTTATGGACTTGAATTAATTGTAAAAAGAATAAATCCAATAGATTATCTGATAATGAAAACAATCGCTGTAGTTCCACACATATGTAAGAACAAGTGCTTCGTGTGGACTGTTGTTTTACATGAAAGGGGGACAGAGAAGAAGACATAAGATGATAGCTGGAATGCATTTGATACATCAAGACCAGATGACAAGAGAAGCGTTAGTCTCATGCATCCATTGAGACAACTTCAAAAACAGTTAACATCTTTTTCTCCTGCCATAGGCTCCACTGTCAACCTACAGCACTGCAGTCACACATTTCATGAGATCCAACTGTAGGATAGATGACCTGACAACGACTCCTTTAAATCACTATTCCTATAGGACTGATCTTCGACCTCTAAACAAATACAACATACACACCCTGAGCCCCGGACAGATCAAATAAAACCCCTGCAAACATAAATGCTGCTGTTTCTGCAGTCACTGGACAGATATTGGTTATATCACATGGCACCACGTGTTTACCATAAACATCACAATCCACACGTGTAGGACCTGAGGAAAAAAAACATCCCATGACCTGAAATGGGTCAGGATTCCTCACATGCAGAAAATATGTCAAGATATGTGACACAGTCAAATGACCCTGCTCGTACAGGCGCTGTCTGGTGAGAGGAGTTGTGAAGATCAAAACTTGGCTCGAGATGTGAATGCCGAAAAATCCGCTAAACCTGGGTCCAATTATCTCTGCTTCAGCAGCCAAGGGGAACTTTTCGACTAGCCTTCACAACTCCCACCACTTACGGGGTTTGGGGTTATGGAGACACACTGGAGGCATACTTCTCCTCAAGTCTGACAGGGTGTCTAGGTCCTTTGTCCCACTTAGACAAAGCACATTTTATTTGCAAGATGCATTACCCCTGGTCACATTAACTTCTTTAATGTTTATATGCAGAGCAAATTATCAAAACAAACTTAAACTTTCCATTGGCAAAACAGAACCGAAGCCTGAAATGCACATAAGGTACAAAAGACCATTATTCCAAATGGTCTTGCAAACGCAAAGTCATTGTTGGACTTTAAAATGGACCTCCTTCGGTCAGTGGTTCCACGGCAGAGTTTTTGTGTGCAGACGCTGATTGTACACAATGTAAAGCAGGCATGCAGGCTATTTTTACTCTCTCCCCTCCCTTCCTCTCTCTCATATCTGTCACACATTTCTGGTAGGAACCTGAAGCCAATCAACTGCCCCATCAGTCCCTGTGTAGAGTGACGTCAACTATTCAACACTATAGCAGGGGAGAGAAAATAAGCAAGAAAGCTGGAACCAAACTGGCGGCTGGAAACAATTACAAATGGTTTCCCACAAGCACAAAGTACTAAAAGCACTAAAATGCCCCAACTAAACAGTTATCTCTGGGGAAAGAAAATGTGAAACAGAGAGTTATTGTTTTCCTCTTAGAGGAACACGGAACCAAATTACCAGTGTGGACAATAACGTAAAATCCCTCCACAATCTATTCTCTGCAGTATATAATATACAGACACAGTTTATCTACTGTTTTTGATAAATACTGTAATAAACCAACTGCACTCAAGGTTTACACTGCCGTCATTCAAAAGACCAATCAAAAGGATATTTTTTTAATTATTTAAGTTGACAATTTAAGTTTCCAAAGGTTGTCTTACGGTTAGAGAGTAGAATTACTGTCTGAGTCTGTCACCTGTTTCGCCTACAACAGCGTAATTGACAAATCCCTGTCAAGTGCTACTTGATGGCTAATCAAAGCTACACAAAATCAGCCTGACCTTGTGGCTGGAGTGTCCGTGTTGAAAATGGCAGGCTGGGATTTGGGAGTCGGCTCAAGGTAAATGCGATAAAAATAAGTGTGTAATGTGTCTGCTAATGAACATTGAAAAATGCTTATCTAACCACAGCAATGAAGAGACACAAGACGTGAGGAGTTGTTGAACATCAAGAAAGCCTTATTTAGTTATTTAATATTGGCTACAAGTGTGCTGTGCTGGGTGTCTGCACAACTAGAAGTCTGTTTGGACGTAAAGCAGAGCTGGCAGTCTGGGTTCTGGGTGGTTGAACTAGCCCAAGTTTGACTTCAGAGGATGAGGACTTGACAAACGGCTATTTCACGGGCCGGAGTGGAATAAAGCCACAGTGGTGGACTTATGAGTGTATACTCTGTCTGCTCTGTTGTTGGAGGGCGGCCAAATCTCTCATTTGCTGTCCACATATTGCAGTCTGTATTATAAATGGAGCTTTGAACTTCCCCTAAAACATGACACAGGTTTTTTTTCCAGAACAATAAAAGAACACAGTGACATTTGTTTTTAACTGCTTCTCACTTCACAGCTACACCCGTCACAGTTTCACTGACACTACAGATAATCAAGACTATGAACTGAATGTAAACTGTCCTTTGCATTTACAGTGGTCGTTTCAATTTCAGCCACACTTTGGAAACACCATTCTTTTCAGGTCACAGCAACATTTTGTCTTTCCCCTTTTTCTCATCTTCATGTTCTGAGACATAAGGTCAGAAATTAAAAGGCTCCACTTCCTGAATATTTGTTTGTGTTTATTCCAAACCCCAAAGACCAAATTGTTCCAACTCTTCTATCAGTGTTTGTGGCTTCTGCATTATTAAACACTATGTATGTTATAAAATCTATCTCCCTGTGTGCCCTGTTCAGATATGAAGTTCCCCAACAGCTGACACGACAAACTTCACGCAGCTTCCTCTTGTTGACAGGAAGCTTGGCAAGCTTCCGTGCTCTTCCTGAAAAATCTGGATATGGACAGTAACAGCTTCCAGAAATTTTTTTATCTCATCATAAAATAAGACATATATCAAACACGCAAATCCACAACTTCCAATTTTCTAGTCATAAAACTAAAATTGAGAAACAGTTCATGGGATTTTTTTAAATAGCTGACTTTAACACTGTGTTAAGAGAGAAAAAACATCCACTGTTCTTGATAAAGTGAGATGTGAAATTGCCCTCAATAGCATAATGACCTAATTCTTTTTAGAAAAATTTTTTTTAGTTTATGTTAGATATAGAAACTGCAATATACTTAAAGATACCTCTTATTATTTCATTATTCTGTTTGGAGCAATAGACACAGATTGATATTCAATTCTATCAAGCCCAAAAATGACCTTTTAACAGTGTTCAATACAAAGTCATCTCAAATTGAATAACACTAGAACATGTGAGACATTCTCCTGTATCCACACTTCAACTTTACAGAATTACATGATCAAAAGGTCAGAAGGACCTGGCTTCATCACAAAGTGTTACTTCCAACGAGTCACAGCACGGACTGGGGATCTGTGAGACAGCCTGAAACAAAAGTCGACAAACCTGGCAGTCACAGTCTGAACCCAGCAATCAAACAGCTTGTCAGAGGTTAACAGGGAATATAAGTATACATTTGTATTTCAATTGAATGCCACAGTCTTCTTGAAATGTGCTGTATGTCATCATCAAGGTTTTCATTGTTAACAGTTAAGATAGTTTCCATTAATATTTCTAGAATATGGCATTATTTGATTTGTGTTCTGGATCTAAGTTAGTCTAACAACACACCTGACACACAATACAGTCTCTTAAGATAACAAGGGCTACTGATTGATAGAATCCAAAAATAGACGCGTCTGACTGCAGATATACGTGAGGGCATGGGAATGTAGGGGAGCCACACAAAGTTCAGCCAGCGAACCTGATAAGGAGGCAGAATGAATCCAAGCCTGATTGTGATCCCGTTCAGGAAACACAATCATGCTGGTCATTTTGCACAGGTCACTAGATGTGGAGTGCAATCATAATGTGAGTTTTCAATCTTGCCCTTTGTAAGACAATGGAGCACATTTGGAGTCAGGAAGCTGAAATCAGTAGGCAAACCTAGATAAGTCCTCCTCCCTGCATTCTGCCACAAGAAATAGCACTGCTGAGGCACGCTCCTGCCTCAGCTTCATTATCTGGCTAGAATCCCAACAGTGGAAACATTTTTACAACCCGCTGTGGCTAGAGGCCTGTTTCTTCAAAGGCAACTCTTTTCCTTTGGAGGGCTTCAAAGTTAGCTTTAGGGGAGGCAGATGGAGGATCTGTGTGGTCTTTTTAGATCATAGTTTCATCTTAATCTCTTTTAGCTTTAATTTTGTAGACACAGTACATACAGCAGGTATGCTCCAAGGTTACTTAA